CCTCTTATGTTTTCGATTTGTGGCTGAAAGCATGAATTGGTTTTTTCCGATTTGGTGAAATATGTATTTCAGATGGTGGAGCGATACGTGAGGGAAGCTAAAATGCTGATCGCGACGCAGGAGCAAGGCGAGATTGCGGCGGCGCTGGGGCTTCTGGAAGCGGCGCTCGCGATGGCGCCGCGCATGGAGGTGGCGCTGGAGATGAAGGCGCGGTGCCTCCTGCATCTCCGGCGGTTCAAGGAGGTGGCCGATATGCTGCAGGATTACATCCCCAGCCTGAAAATGCCTGTATCCGACGAAACGTCTTCTTCCGGCTCGTCCGACGGCTCGTCGACGCAGCTATCGAGGGAGCGAGTCAAGCTTCTGTCCTCCGCCGGAGATTCGCTTGGCGAGGCCGAACCGGCTTTCAGATGCTTTTCCGTTTCCGATTTGAAGAAGAAGGTCATGGCCGGGCTCTGCAAAAACGTGGAGAAAGAAGGTCAATGGAGGTAAAAGAGACACACACACACACATTTGCTTGTAAATTACGCGAAATCACTGCCATCAATTAATGAAATCTCACCTAAAATCAACTTTTCGCGATCTGCATTGCTCCTCCCGAGAGTCCAAATCTGCATTTAATATAGGAGTATAAAATTTCACAGAATTAATCAACTCATTAAAACGAGTTTTACTGATTCGCCCGGGTTCACTCAATCTCTATACAGATACTCCGTACTCGGCCAGGCGTGCTGCCATCTCGGCCTGATGGAGGAAGCAATGGTCCTCCTCCAGACCGGAAAACGCCTCGCCGCCGCCGCCTTCCGCCGCGAGAGCATCTCCCTCCCGGACGACATATTCTCCTTCAACCGACTCCCCCTCTCCAGCGACCCCTCCCACCCCCAAAACCCTCCACGGACCGAGTCCGACAGCATCACCCACCTCCTCTGCCACATCAAGCTCCTCATTCGCCGCAAAACCGCCGCCGCCGCCGCCCTTGACGCCGGTCTCCACTCAGAGGCCATCCGTCACTTCTCGAAAATCCTCGACGGCCGCCGAGGAGCCCCTCAGAACTTCCTCTCCGAGTGCTACGTCCACCGAGCCTCCGCCTACAGGTCCGCCGGCCGCATAGCTGAAGCCATTGCAGACTGCAACAAAGCACTAGCCCTCGACACTTCCTCCATAGACGCCCTCACAACCCGAGCCGCCCTTTTTGAGACCATACGATGCTTTCCCGACAGCCTTCACGACCTCGAACACCTCAAACTCCTCTACAACTCAATCCTCCGTGACCGCAAGCTTCCGGGGCCCGTCTGGAGAAGGCAGAGCGTGATGTACCGTGAAATTCCCGGGCGATTATGCTCGTTAGCTTCGAAAATCCAGCAACTGAAGCAGAGACTTGCGGCAGGCGAGTCGAGCAATGTCGATTATTACGCACTGATTGGATTACGAAGGGGATGCTCGAGATCGGAATTGGAAAGGGCCCATTTGCTGTTGATGTTGAAGCACAAGCCCGACAAGTCTTCGGGCTTCATGGAGAGGTGTGAATTTGCAGACGAGAAGGAAATCGAGTCGGTTAAGGATCGAGCCAGAATGTCGGCCTTGTTGCTGTATAGGTTGATTCAGAAAGGGTATACGAGTTTGATGGCAGCAATTTTGGAAGAGGAGTCTGCCGAAAAGCAGAGGAAAAAGGCTGTTGCTGGAGTTGTGGAAACTCCGGTGATGGCGCTGCCTCCGGCAGCGGCGGCCGGGAATGACAAAAACAACGAGGACAACAAAAATGCTAAAAATAGTAATGTGAGTGGGAATGACAAAAAGGCCCCCATCACAACTCCACCAGCTTCAGTTTTCCAAGGGGTTTTTTGTAGGGACCTTGCGGTGGTCGGTAATTTGCTGTCTCAGGCAGGGTTTAATCGTCCAATTACAGTGAAATATGAGGCATTGAGCTGTTGATCGATGAGTATTTAAATTAATATGGAGAAAATTTAACGATCAAAAAAAAAAAAATGGAGAAAATTTGAAAAAAAAAAAAAATCAATAAATAAATAGAAGTGGAAATAAAATTAGAAATGATGGAGGATATGAAAATTATGAAACGCTACAAGTGCTTCTGAAAAAATGTTCATAAAAGACGCGGGCGGGAGAATCTATGATTTGGTGGCGTGTACAAATAGGAATGCTTGAAGTACTACTCTGCCCGCCAGGGGTGAAAAATTTTTTTG